AGTTTTATTTAAGAAAGGACTTGTATCGCTGAAGTTCCTCGGGAAGAATTTTTACGGGAAATTAACAAACGATCAGAGACTTAACAGTTGTATATAATTTTGTATCTACATAAAAATGTGGCAAGCTTTTAGTAAGATATACAAGTTTGTTGTACACAAAGTGTCGGATGTGTTAAAATAAAATATACATAGATAGATATATTTGTGGAGACATCCAGGTTGATAAATTAATAATAACAATACTGTTAGTACACTTCTCCGGCTCCACAAACCGAAGACTAGCTACAAGATACTGTTACGACAGAGATGCGCGCTGGAGTTTCTGGAAGTATCGTGAATTTTCCTGGCAACTCTAGTTTGTTCGAGGCGCCCTCTTTTTAGTATATAAGCCTGGCGAAAAAAAAACCAGCGGGATGGTATAGAAAGAGAGAGAGAGAGATACAAACAGATAGATCAAAGAGATAGATAAATAATTGAGTCCAGCGAACAGTAGGCACCGTAAGTAAAGTGTGTGAATCACTGTGGTTTATAGCGTGTGTTATAAAGGTTGTTAAGTTTAAAGTGACTGTGGAAATTAAGTGTATTACAAAGTTGTATCGAGAAAGAATAAACTAGTTTTATTTAAGAAAGGACTTGTATCGCTGAAGTTCCTCGGGAAGAATTTATACCGGAAATTAACAAACGAACAGAGATGTAACAATACAGACATTTGGTTGAAACTTAGCATTAATTACTTCTTACCAATTCCGCTGACTTTCTTTCAGATTGAGAATATTAGCAGTAACGCTGGTAATAGATACATAATGAATAGAGAGGAGAATACAGTTAGAAGTTAGGAAAACTAAAAAATAACCCTCCGTTCAAACATATGTAAAATGAAGGCTTCTATGATTGGTAAAAAGATTCACATATTATTGAAGGTGTGAACTGGATAGGTGGGAGAATGGTTAAATCACTATTGGTCGTTTCTATGTGTTGCTTCAGCGAGGTCACGTGACTAGTGTCACGCCACGTTTTCTAGAAATACCCTGTTCCTTCGTGAATGCCCTAGCATTTACTGGATTGTGAGTAGTCTGGTATATATAAGACGTTAACAGTGTGATGGGACAATGCGTAGGTAGTGAGTAATTGATCTGCAGTCAGGGAGTATTGTTGAAGTTAACGTTCGTTGTTATAGCGTTTGTTTTAGCGCGAATGTTGAAACTAAGTGTATCGTAAAGTTATATTCGGAAAGAATAAACCAGTTTTATTTAAGAAAGGACTTGTGTCGCTGAAGTTTAGTTGAAAAGAATTTACGGAAAAATTAATTAACAAACGGAGACGTAACATATGCAAACAGTAATATTATCGTTTTTTTATCTCGGTGTTCTGAATGATTTAATTTTCTAAAAACAAGCATAGGTTTGAAGTGCACGTGAATGACGGCTTCGGAGAGCAAAAAGCCAGAGTATTTGATATCTCACTGACAGTAACCTCGGTGTGACTTAATGAAAACAAATTAGAAGAATGTTGTATAAAACTGGCATCAAGCTTGTAAGCAACTGAATCATTTCAGTTGTTAATAACATGGATCTTTTAAGAACGGATTTCAGAGATTGTGCGTTGTTATCATTGGTATTTAAGATGTAAGTTACTAAGAGGGCGCTCCCGTAGATTGAAGACATTTGACGTTGATATTAACTAATATTATTATTTGTAAATTGTAGTAATTCATAAAAAGATAAATTGATTTTATAAGCAGGGTTAAGTTTTAAATTAGGAACTGGTGTATTACAAACGTTAGGTTTAGCTTTGCGAATGACATTAGGCTACAATTCGGTAAGTTATAAAACACTTAAACTGAGTTAAAGTTAAAATACTAACATGTATTGATGTAAGGTTGACTGTTTCAGCGTTTGGGTTTGTGAGATATGTTCAGTGAGAAAGAGCTTTTTGAAATGGGTGGTGTGATAGGGTTATCAACTCAACTGTAAAAGTGTAAGGACAGCTTTAATTTTAAACTAGGACTAGACAGTGGTGGGGGTCAGGATAAACTAAATGAAGACTTACCATTCAGAGAAAAATATAGTGTAGGAACAAAATACAGAATTAGAAGAAATTGTAATGGTGCTATTAGTAATACTAGAAGTATAAGAAATAAAATAGATGACTAGTGTGGAGTACTGTTACAGTGGTAGGAATGGTATAATACTTTCAGTGAAACTTGGTTAAATGTAGATGAATTTTATGACAGCAATTGTTAGGTTATTTAATAAGGATAAAGAATTAAAGATGAGGGAAGGGAGGGGTGGCTTAATATGTAAAATGTGAGTTACATCGTTTTTAACTTGAAGTTGAGGATGTCAAGGATAATAGCAAGGAGATTGAGTCCATTTGAGTTTCTGTTAGTACTAGTAGTTAATTATGGAAGGAGGCTTTTAGTTGTAATTTGGTACATACCACCAGTTGAAAATAATGAAGTTAGTGAGAAACTGAACTGAGATAAGGAATTGAGCTGTTGATAAGGTTATAATTATGGGGGATTTTAATTTTATGCATATAAATTGGGAAATATAAGAGTCAAACCATGAGGGAGATATATTTTTATAGACTGTTCAGGATGATTTTCCTCACCGGTTGGTTAGGGGACCTATTAGGAGCACTGTGATTTTAGATTTATTGTTAACTGTTAATATATAAGTGGTTGAAAAGGTGGAGATTGGGGAACATATGGGTGCAAGTGATTATTGTTGTTTAATGTTTTGATTCATATGGCATAATAACAATTACAGGATTATAGAAAACCAAGAAAGTTGGTTAAAGGGGTATATGAAACAAAGGTTGGCTGAAAATGTAACAATTAACAGTAAGGATTTTATTTAAATACTTTAAAGGGAAGTAAAATATTAGGACAGAGGTAGGGACTATGATACAGTTACGCTCATATACGATGATTATGAGATGGCTGGGTTATTGAATTCTATTTTTTTCTTCAATTTATATTATTGAAGATTTAAGCAATATCCCTTGTCCTGAACAGTTGATCACATTAATTCTGGGCCAAATAATACTTCCCCAAGGGTTTTCAAGGAGGTTAAGGGTTAGATATGTGAGCCACTTGCTACTATTTTGTGTAAGTATTTGAATAGTGGGTAGGTTCCAGAAGATTGGAAGTTGGCCAATACTTTTCTTTTGATGGGAAGTAATGAAAATTGTTGCAGTAATTATAGGCTTGTTAAATGAATTCAAATTCACCT